TGTCAGGGATTTGGACAGAGGTGTGAGATAAAGCCACCCAGAGAGTGGGAGAAGAAACAGACTGGAGAAGTCCATTCAGTGGCCATGTGAGGTGAAGTCTATAAAATGAGGCCAGTCATTCAGCGACCTGGATGAAGGTACAAAGTTCCCAGAGAGTTAGATTTAACCAGGTTTGTGGCTTTGCAAAACAAGTCAGATATACATACCATCAGGGGTAAGGGAACTGAGGGCGTATGCAGGGAGTAACTCTGATGACTAACTATGGGATTTAAGCTTTGCAAGGAAGAAAAACACCAGGAAGCAGAGAGGCAGTGTAAAGGTAGTAGGATCAGTGGATTATAGATTGGGGAGAACAGGAAAATTTGGAGGGCTGGGGTACTGGAGTAAATGAGGCTGAACATCAGGAATGATCAGAGTGGGTGTATGCAGTTGAGACCACGCAGGGTTGAAATGATCAGTCTTGAAACAAATCTAAGAAGTGAGTTGCTGAAGTAGAGGAGAATTCAAGAAACTGAGAAGCAAGATTTCTGGAAGATCACCCACACATATACAGCAGCTATGACAGGAGTAGTGGACAGAATGACAGGTAGCAAAAGGAGCTAAAATCGTCCATAAATAAGGAGGGTGAGCTCTAGGGTTGGTGGATGACTGCAACAGTGGGGAAAAGCACATCACAAAACTATGTACGAGGTCTGTCCGGAAAAAGTCCAGCTGTTGTTAACACAATGAGAACAGTTTGCGCGACATCCATGTAACCTGGCAGCCAAGGAGAGTGGACTGGAATGCGCAAACATGAACAGTGACGACCCCACTGTACCAGGCAGTGGGGGTGGTGAACGCTGTTGAGTGAGTGAGCATGTGTACTGTGTGGCCATCGCATTCAAAATGACTGAGCAAGTAGAGCAATGAATCTGCATCAAATTTTGAATTAAGCTTCAATATTCCTCTGCAGAAACTATTTGGATGATTCCAAAAGCTTTTCAGGGTGATGCAATGAGTGCAGTGCAAATAAAAGTGCAGAACAAATGCTTCAAAAATAGTAAAGAATCTGTTGAAAGTGACCCATGTTCTAAAAGGCTTGCAACTAGCACAACACCTGAGAATGTTGAACGTGTACGGGCTGCAGTCAACAAAGATCAGTGACTGACAGTGTGAGAACTGGCAGCTGATCTGGGGGTTTGACACAGGATCTTGGCATGAAGCATGTCATGGCAAAATTTGTTCTATGGCTTCTGCTACCAGAGCAGAAGGAACATCTTGCTGTAGCTGCTAATGACTTGATTCAAACCACTACCAATGAACCAGATTTCCTCAAGAAGATCATAACTGGAGATGAATCGTGGGTCTACGGCTATGATCCGGAAATGAAGGCCCAGTAGTTCCAGTGGAAGTCGCCTGGTTCTCCACATCCAGAGAAGGTGTAACAGCAATTCACAGCAAGATCAAGACCAGGTTAACTGTGTTTTTTGATTGGGAAGGTGCTGTCCATCACAAGTATTTCCCTCCAAGCCAAACAATTAAGGAGTACTACCAATATGTTCTTCATCAGTTGAGAGATGCAATACAATGAAAACAGCCACACCTATGGGCAACTGGTGATTGGCAGCTCCATCATGAAAACATACCCACTCATGCATCACATCTTGTGCAGAGTTTTTTGGCAAAATCTCAAATCACCCTGGTGATTCAGCCCCCCTACAGCACAGATTTGGCACCCTGCGACTTCTGGGTTTTCCCAAAATTAAAATCACCTTTGAAAGGGAAGAGATTTCAGACTATCAATGAGATTCAGGAAAATACGAGACAACAGATGGCAATTCTAACAAAGGATTTTGCAGAACATTTTGAACAGAGGAAGAGACACTGGCAGAACTGCGTGAGGTCCCAAGGTGCCTACTTCAAAGAGGACTGAGGTGTCATTGTCCAATGTACAGTGTTTCTTGTATCTTGGATCTTCTTTCATAAATGCCTTTCTCATCGTACGTGGCTGGAATCTTCCTGGACAGACCTTGTTGTATATGTGGAGAGAGTTGGGCCCACTTTCCTGCATACACACACATCCTACAGTGAAAGTGTATCATTTCTATGATAAGAAAAAATTATTGTAAAAGTGGTAGGGCCATCTCAAATACTGTTTTTTTTTTTTAACTGAAGGTATTGAAGTGACATTGGTTAATAAGATTATACAGGTTTCAAGTATACAGTTCTATTCTACATCCTCTGCATATTGCATGGTGTGCCCACCACCCAGAGTCAAATCATCCTGCATCACCACACATTTGGCCCTCTTTACTTCTCCACCCCATCCCCACACGCATTCAATTATTTATATATACACACACACACAGACACACATATATGTGTGTGTGTGTGTGTGTGTGTATATATATATATATATATATATATAAAAGATTTATATATATATATATATAAAAGATTATATATATATATATATATAAAAGATTCTTTGACACAGATTCTCTAGTTGAGTTACATGCTTCAGAATCAAGGTGTTAAAATAGTAAAAACTTTCTTACAAATAGTAAATAGCCCTAATGAGGTATAAAGTGAATATTCTCCTAAAACTTATGAAGCTTGCAAGAATGTCATTTTATCTTTTTTCCCAGTCTTCACCTGAGCATATGTTTATTGGTTTTACAGAGAGAAGAAGGGAGGGGAGAAACAGAAATATTGGTGTGAGAGAGAATCAGTCGCCTCCCATACATGCCCCAATGAGGGATTGAACCCGCAGCCTAGGTATGTGCAATGACCAGGAATTGAACCCACAACCTTTTGGTGTATGGGATGACACTCCAACCAACCAAGCCACTGGGGCAGGGCTTATTTTGCTTTAATAAATAATAATAATGTATACTATATCTTCCTCAAAGTCAAATTATTTTACTGAGTTCTGCCATTTAAAAAAATAGAGTTATGAGTTTTCCTGGTGAGTAAACAATGTTACATCTGGATGTCTTTCCTCTTGTGAACATTTTTCTTTGAAACAGAAAATTAGGGAAACATTGAATTCTCCCAGTTTCTGGAGCTCAGTTCTGTGTGGGAGGGGGACACAGAGAGGAGAAAGAAAAGAAACAAAAAATATGTCTTCAGGTTTTATCCAACCCTATGGGTAAGCCAAATTCTTTTGGTCTTTTAAACCTTTAAATTTTGCCTAGTACCAACCCTCTGTGTTTTCTTCTTTCCACAGTGAGCCTTGGCCTACCCTCTGAACGCCCTAAAACAAGACGAAACGAAGCAGAAGGGAAGTGAAGTGAAGGATGGTGGGAATGAGGAAGAATGACTTGGCCTTGGACGTGGCCAGGACGATTACACATGAAGCGTGGTATCCTGATACCAAGCCATAAAAGTTTAAGCCTAATTTAGTGCTTCTGTTCATCCACTGAAGTGAATAGGGTAAGATTTACCCATTGAACTTTTATCATTTCGTCCTGTTGCAAAGCTATAATTGGCAAAGCAGTAAGATGGGTGGCCATGTGGGATACAACATGCACTCATCCCACAGAAAAATTCTTGTCCACCCTACTAACCACAACCACTCGTATTTAATTTAACTTCCAATTGCAAAGCATTTCTTCTCAGATTATTGCAACGATATTCTGATGAGGTTGTGAAGACTGGCATTATTACTAGCTTCCTTGTAAGCAGGGGATGTTAAGGCCCAAAGTCCTAAGTAACAAAGTCCAAGTCCCAACTCTGTCCCTTGAACAGGCACTTGTCAGTGATATGCCCCGCTGTCGAGACACAGCTCTTGGATGCCACCCATCCAAGCCCTGCCCCTCATGCATGGCCAGACCCACAGGGTAGGTTGGAAAGAGCACCGAATTTGGGCTCAGAAGCCCTCAGTTAAAAGTACTACCTCCGCTACTAGTTCGCTATGTACCACTGAACAAGTTACTTAGTCTCTATTCACCTCAGTTTACTTGCATGTAAAATGGGGATAATATCTGTTCTGCCTATTTCAGAATGCTTGGGAAAAACTGCTGAGAGACTATATATAGAAGCTCACAGTCAACTATTAAGAGCCCCACAAATGTCACACATTATTCAAGGTCCATCTTAAGTCCTACTTCATCCAGGGAACCCTCCAACCTTTCAATCCAGTCTACACTGAACTCTTCTCCTGAATTTCTTGCTACACTATTTATCTCAGCATTGACTACATTTGCTCTTGTATTATTACTCAAATATTTCCGGTTCAGATACATCTTCCCTCCACAGAGCCTAGCACAGTGCCGTAAGCATAGCAATGCTCCGCACTGTCCATGTCATGAATGAACTGGTGGAGCTGAGAGTGGAATCTTACCTTCCTGGTACCGTGGTGCTAACTTCTACAGGAAACTCTGGAAAAAGCTTTCCTATGATGTAAATTACATTCATGCTCTAATAAGGCTACTCACTCACTGAAAGGCAGAGTTTTCTCTTTAAAAGGAAAGAGTACATTGTGTAAACCACTTAAAGAGATAAGAAGCACGGCCCAATCGCGTGGATAAGATCCCAGAGGCTCCCCATTGGGAGAATCCTGCCAAAGTTCCCTCCAGAGGGAACATTCCCCCCACATCTTCTCTTTAGGAGAGGAGGCCTCACAAGGAAAAATCTCGCTGGACATACAGGGTCCAGCAGAAGTAACTCCTGCTTGAGTACAATTGGTAGGGTAATAATATGGATGGAATAATTTATAGTTTTAATCTGAACATTTCACCTAAAATGTCATATGGTGTGTTTGAGTGTGATATTGTTATGTTACAGAATTACATGCTTATGATTTTGCAACACAAGAGTTTATGATAAAAAGGGGGCATTATCTGTGCCAGATCCTGTATTTGCAAATTAGGCAGGCCTTGTTTGACTGTCTGTGGCCAAAAAGGCATCCTAAAGCTCGTTAATTTCTCCTGGGGAAGATACACTCTGAGTTACATAGAAGTTTCCCCCGGGCTCTTGGGAGCTTTCCCACCCAAGCCCAGGTGTTAGTAGCGCTTTACCTGATCTCTAGCCAGAGAGCCGGGGCTTGACCGAGGCTTGTCTTTAAACGAGTAAGTGGCCATTTGCTTCTTCAACAGGTCCAAGAAGTTAGGAGGCATGTACAGAGGAAGGTCATTCAGTACTGGATTGTTTCTGTGCACAAGAGGTGGTTTTTTTCTTCCTTCATTTTTAAAATTATAGGTTGTGGACACTGGATTTAATAGGGATTCCTCAAGAAAAGTTTTCAAGTGGTAAGTGCCAGGAACAGGAGTAGCCTGTGGAAAATTGACATCCTTTTTCAGGGCAGTGTGTAAACCAGCAACATCTCCAAAAGCAGCATTCTTGAAATGGTCATTCCTAAGTGGCATTTCTCTTCGTTTTAAAGTTTAGTAAAATTCTACTAAAATATAGTAAATGCTCTGTACAGAATCGTATTTCAAGATTATTTCCATTCTGAGACAACTACTGAATTATAGCAAATGGATTATGGCCGTAGTTAAAGTTTTAACTTCTCAAAAAGTAGCTTCGTGGATACTTAAACTTGAGATTCAGTTCGACTATAAAGGCCTCCAGGCCTCTAGTGAGAGCACTCAGGATGTTTGTCGACTACATACAAGTTATCCTGCCTCTGCTGAGTAGATGCCCCATGTTCCCGTCTAGCCCTCACGTGGGCAGCTAGAGGACAAGAACATGAAGCTTCATGGAGGATGAATTGGCAGGACATGTTGTCTAGTTAGTCCCGTAAAGGGTTTGGTACTTTCAAATCCCAAACCACAATGCAGCTAAATGGCCAAACCTGAAAATTTAGTCACTGCTGCTCTTGTGGCCCTCTTTCCACTGAGTACTCAGCTCAGTTGCGCTGTTAAAAAGAGTTCAATTCCAAGAAGGCTTTGGCCCATGAGGCCCTTCTGTTATTGCAGGGTGTGGATAGGAAATATTTCTATAATATAGAAACAATGCCTCTTGAGAAGGGGATCTTCTAGTCATTTTATTTTCATATATTACCCCCTTGCTTTCATACGCTGACCACGTTAATTGATGGCAGTTATCATAGGCTCTCTGCCACCTAAGATAAAAACTGAAACCCAGAAACCTCTCCATAACAGATGCTTTTTTCTTGCTCATGTAATATTGCCACGCTCATCAACTGGGTTGGTATTATCCAGATATTCTGTAATGCAACTAGATTTCTAGAGTTGTTCTACTTTTCCAAGCTTTTAAATTAAAAATTTAGTTTCTTATTCACTTGCTAAAACTAAAATTACAAGTATAAAGTAAGGCCCACTGTCTTATTACGAATGAAGTATTGTTGACTTGAAGGCAAGGCCGATTAAAATATGAATGGAATAGTATGAATAGAAAAGAATGAAAATGTACATACTGTTAATGTAGATCTCCACCATCTTTCTCTTGCAAAAGATGATCTCTTCTGGGTTGGTTTCTATTAACAAACATAAGATATGCTTATTCACTTGAGAGGCAATTCCCTAGAAGTATAATTTATAAACAACTTACTTGAATTAATTAATACCTGCACCAACTTGGTCAGCCTGGATAAAAATAAAAGCTACATTATGTCAATTTTACTGGTAATATTTCTTTAAATGGCTACTTATATGATTTTAAGTGTTTTTTAAATATCTAAATTCTCTTTGGGGGAATTAGAGCAATAAACATTCCTGTCTGACAGAGATGTCATAAGGGTAATTGGATGTGACAAAACTGGGTGTTCTCAGGAAGAAATGAGCTGTGTGAATCCAAAACTGTATTATCATAATTGCTGTTAAAGTTCATGGCTCAGTCCTTTTGTCTACTTTAGTAGGTGAAGAGAGCTTGTCCTCAGATGAGAATGAATGGGGGACACGGCAGATTTTGGTGCCAGGGACTGTGTAGATATTATGCTCTTAGATGTTCTAGGTGCTTCAGGAAACCTCAATTTAAAAGAGAATAATAAAGGAAACGAGCCTCCACCTCCTCCGCTCCAATGACATCCCAACTCGAAGACAAGGCCCTCTGTGCCACATTTACCCTTCACAGTGAAGGGCTCTGGGGCTGGTTTGGTGATTGTGATTTCAGGTCTGTCACTCTTGCTATTTGTGTGCATTCAAAAGGAAGAGAGGAAATATATGACAATCATCTTCACTTAGCTGATTTTTACTTCTAGCAGGTAAATATAGGTAGCAGTGCAGGGGTGATCTCTGTCCTGCACCTGACATGCAAAAGGCTCCCCACATTCAAACTGAAGAGGAAAATGGAAATCTCTAATGAAGCTGCTATGTGCATTTATGAATATTAATGAGTAAAAACTGCTTGGTTTACACTAAAAAAAAGATTTATGGTTCAGGAGATTGTGCTGGGAACTCAAGGTCAAAGTGCATAGTCATCAGATTAACATGGTATTGGGCTAAAAATTCCTGGAGATGAGGCAAATGTTGCCAATTGCCATTTCCTAGATTTATATACATGATCAAATGTATGTCATATAAATATGGTATAGCCAGTTCTCTCAGCTTATCCAGCTAGCTGTGACACAAAAGAGTCAGAATGATAGAAGAACCAGACAGACTTGGCCTTGAACTCCAGCTCTGCCACTTACTAGGTAAGAGCTTTAGGCAAATTACTTACCCTTTAGGAGCCTCTGCTTCCTCTTCGGAGCATAAAAGCAGGCCTACTAGGGTTGGCATGAGAATAAGGCATTGTATATGTAAACACTTGCGCCCACAACCAGTGCCCAATAATAAATGGGAACTTTTATATTTAACATTTCATCTGCCAAGTTGAGCAGATTATTTTGGTATTCTTCAGTCTTCAAAGGATGCTTTTGTCTTCCATAATAAGTACTCTATACCCTTTTATTATTTTTCCACATCTGATTCAGCCTCGCTGTTAACAGAACACAGTTGTTCAGTTTTTTTCCCTTTTGTGCTACTCCTACTAGGTAAAATCATTACAATTTTGACTTCTACTTTCATTTATGCTTTTGTTATTAGTATGAAATGTGAGTTATCTCAAGGAACAATGCATTAAAAATAACAAAGAATTGAATCAGCAAAGCTGATATAATTCAGTGTTCTTGTCTAGCAATCTATATCCACTCTACTTATAAGTACCCCAGAGCTTTAGTTTTACTATGAAATATGAGCATTTCTCTAAAAAAAAGTTCCATACACACTAATTTCAATTTCTCCCTATATATCCCCTTTATTAGATGTATACTGAATGTTCTCTGTTGCACATTTTTAGTTACAGAAATCAAACTTTCCCAGGCGTGTCAAAACATGTCTCCCACCTCTACCTGGGCCAGGAAGATGAGTTGGGAAGGACAAGGGAGAAGTAAACATATATCCAAAGGAAGGTAACTAGCAGCTGCTGTTTTGTTTTGCCCAAGGCAGGTGATCTAAACTCCACCCATCCACCACTTCAAATTCGCTTTACGGGTGAATCTCTTTACAAAAGATAAACTCAACCATTAAAAACTAAACAAAGGTAGTTTAAAATACTTTATAAACACTAAACTCAAAAACAGTGTCCATAGACAAAAGAAAAAAATTCTCTAAACGGGAAAACCAAAGGAATCTAGTCACCCTATTAAAGCAGTCGTCGCGGGGCATTTGCAGTAGGGTGGGGATAAACACTGAAAACAGAGGGCAAATTGGTATAAGGAAGTAGGGCAGAAGAAATAAAACGAAGTACAGCTCTAATAAAGATCAGACGAAAGGACCACAAGGTGGTGAGAACAGTTAAGAGAGAACAGGAGGGGTGCAAAGGCCCCAGATTAGAGACGTGGGATTTGGCGCGGAAGAGCCTGACGAAGGGAAACGGTAATTGGGAGCACCAGGGGTAGGCGGCGGTACCCAGGCCAGGACCACCTAACCGCCAAGCCCCAAGTCTTCCCTTACTTCCGTGTCCGTGATGGGGATGACTGGGTAGCCCATTGCAACCTCCTCAGTCCTTAGGCCGAGACTTGGTGTCTGGTTGCCAGGAGGCACCTCCGGCCAGCCGCTCCCGAGCGTGCGCAAGGGACCAGCTAAGTCTTTCTCCAATGGTGGGGGAAGGGAGGTGGGCACAGACTTTGAAGCCCCGCGAGCTTAGCGTCGCTCAGAGACTTAGCCTCGTGCAGAGACGCACGCCTGCGGAGTTGTCAGAAAGCCCTCAGGTAAGTATCTGCACCAAGACTTTTAAAGACAGATTGTGAAGGCTTGAAGATGCCATCATCTTGCTGTCAGCTTTTTCGTAAATCACCAGCAATCCCATACCCGCTCCACGCGCCGCCCCCGCCCCCCCCCCCCCGACCCCGGCGGAAAGGGGGTAGAATGCTTGGTAGGCATACTTAGCTTTAAGGCAAAAATGAGCCTTGGCACCCACTTTCTAAGATTGTTTCTAAGCTCTTTCAAATGAAAATTCCGAGGGTGTCGCTTCTCCTGCCTGAAGTGGAGTGAGCACTAGACCCAAGAGGCTTCACTGTGAAACCACAGGCCACCTTTTCCTATCTGTACGGACCTTTTCCCTTTCTACCTCTCCATGTAGCATCTCAACCTACAAACATTCGCATCTTTAAAAACAAACCCTCCCCTCAAAATTAGATACTTTACATTAATTTCTCACAACCCTGTGAAGTAGGTATCAACCCCATTGTATGAATGAGGAAAGATGCTTCCTTGGACAATTTACCTAGCATACAGCAGTGGCAGAGTTCAAATCCAGGTCTGACTCCAGTGCCCCAGTCCAAACCACCATGAGATTCCTGCTCCCTTTTACAAATTTTCAAGAGTAGACTAATTCTTTCACCTCCCTTATTTTCCTAAAACCCATCTTAATCTGACATGTACGTATACCTGTCCATTAAAATTGCACTTGCTAAACTAACCAGTGATCCATCCAATGGCTCAATCCAATGGGCATTTTTCAGCTCTTAGCTTTACCTCCATTTCTCATTGCTGCACTGATTACCCCGCTCCCTCACTCCTGAATCCCTCCCCTACCAGAACTTGAAGGTTTGCTGCCACTTGCTATGACATGTGCTTCTTTGTCCACTTCCCCACGCGTGATTATGATTGAATAGAATGTTCAGACCCAGGCACAACGTTCAGTAAATACGGGCTATCATCACCTTTAGGACAAATGCAAAATTTACAATCTAATCTCTCCTTTTCCATCAGAACACATTTTGATGTATGGTGTTGACCCTAGAACCTTGGGTTAGGGGTACCTGACACCAAGCAGTCGGAAATTCATGCATGCCTTTTGACTCATCCAAACTTAACTACAGTCCCTCGGTATCCACAAGTTGGTTCCAGGACCCCCACAGATACCAAAATCCTCAGATGCCTATGGCCCTTATGTAAAATGGCTTAGAACAATACATACAATTGACTCTCTGCATTCATGAATGTGAAACCCAGAGATATGGAGGGCCAACTATGTATTTATTGAAAAAACAAAAAACTCATGTGTCAAGTGGACCCACACAGTTCAAACCCATGTTATTACAAGGTCACCTGTACCTGCAAACCCAAAACATGCCATCTTCAGGGTCCTAGTCTCCCCATCTGACAGCTCTTCTTTGACAGCCTGATACACCTGCAAGATCAACTCCTCTGGTAAGTCCTTAGGTCTAACACCCCTTGTAGCCCAAAGGGACCCCCTGCCTATCATTATTGGAGGGCTCATTCTGGTAACTTGTTCCCAATTTTAAATATCCAAAACACAGGTTTTTGTCTCTAATTCTGAGCCCTTTTAATGCAGGATTAAGTTATTTATTGAATACATGACCAGTTTTCCTCTCTATAAATAAAATAAGAGGAGGGGCTACAGAAGTGCCTTTCAAAAATGTGCATACAAACCCACAGGGTTTCTGTTGAACTACAGATTGGTTCATGTGATTCTGTGGGCAATTTTTTGCACAAGTGACTAGAGGACGACTTCCTCTTAAAATACTGGGATTCTAAATTCATTTAACATAGCCTTAAAAAATATAGAAGAGGAAAAAAAAAATAACCAGGCACCAGGTTTGAAATCACGAATTATAAGGCCAAGAGGCAAGTAAAAACCAGTTTTCATAACTGTAAGAGATTAATCAAGTCCATTACTGTGTCTCATTTCATTTCTTAAGAAAACTGGCCCAGCAGACTAGGGACTGGTACCCTAGAGACTAAAGTAATATGATGAAGGTACAGAGAAATCTAGAAACCCATACAAGGTGTGAAACAGAAGGGAATATCTAGATGAGAAAATAGCTTGAATATCTCAAAAATAGAAACAGTATGGGTCAATGATTTCAAGGACTTCACTGATAAAACAGATTAAGCATGTAGGATAAACAAAGTGGCCTCATAAAAAAACATTGTATTATACCACTGAGAAAAATTTAAAATATTTCAGATTATAACAAGCATTTTTTCTTTGATAATACAAGACCACATTAAGTAGAATTTAACAGTGCTTCTGCTATGCATCACACCTTTAACAAAAATTACATTCTAGGATCATTTTTAACTGCAATAGTGATGGTTTTATTAGAATTACCTGAGAGCAAACATGCTACAGATAGTACTGAGTAAAGAATTATCACTTACCGTTATCCAGCTAATATAAAACAGGAAACATGGTAAAGATTTGAAGGTTTTAAAATTACGGTCCTGGGTTTGATTATGCTGTATGAAGTGAACTGATTACGAACTCACTCATTTGTGTTCAGTGACCAGTTAAATTATATAAAAGTGCCCTGTGTTTCAATTTCCTGTAGAATCAAATGCTTACTGTGACTTATGTGAATATTACAAGAATATAACATCGACCATTCATGATACACAAAAGTGCTCTAAAAGTGTGTTTCTCCTTCCACTTTAACAATTTGTACTCCGGTTGTTGAAACTGGAAAAACAGCAAGACTAACTTCGCCAAATTCCCTCATTCTATAGGGTTGTAACTACTGGTTTAACAGGACAGTAACACACCGATGGAACATTTACTCCAAATGCCAAGGACTATGCTAACTGCTTTTTACCTTAATCAACGTAAAAGCCAACTGAGAGACCCATTGGACAAATTATACCTATTACACATTAAGATAACTGAGGATTTATAGTGACCTCTTCAAGTTTACACAAAGCAGTGATATGACTCATTGCAATAAAATATCAAAGCTCAGGTGCCTCGAAGAGCCAGACATATGAATCTTCTTCCACCAAATACCCTAACCAGCCTTTCTTCTGACTCAACTTTTACGTCTAATGAAGATCTTCCTACTTATTGATTTGCCTAATACGCAGTAACATAATGTACCATTAGGATCATCAATTCTTTTAACATCCCGTCCTACCTGAAACATACCTATCACTGTTTTTCCTCACTAACCATCCAGTTTCTATTCTCAGGTAGAGTAACAGTGGTAGTAAAATAGTCAAAGATGGGTAGAAACCTGCCAAATGAAATTATCCTCTGCAAATTGAAAACCTTGTGGCTATAATAATCAATTAACAATTATACTCTCCGGTTTGCTGTGGAATCTCTCATTAAGTATTAAAAAAACCCTAATTAATCATCTTTTGAGGAGCTTAAATTATAAAGAAAGCACTAGTTTAGAAGCAAAAACAAATATGTTTAGTTACTGCCAATCCACTCCTAAAGAAACTTTTTTTTTTGGTCAAACGTACTGCAGATAGGCAGGCACAACTGAAGTAAGTCTCCTTTGCCTTGTGGCAGAATTAAAAAAGCACAGTAAGTAAAACATTAGGGAAAGAGAGGTTAAACATAATACCCCTCACCCGTCCCTAGATTTAGATTATTGTATTTTTCATACATTTAAAACTATCATTGCATGGCTAAAGTCAGTATGGACAAAAAGTTGAAAAATATATTTAAAAGGTATGAAACATGAAAACATCTACCTTATGCCAGTTTCCATGCTAGGCACATTTACATAAGGTTTTTAGTCTTTCACTTGAACTTTTTTGAAGGAGGTATAATTTAAAAACCAAACACAATCTTGACTACTCAAAAAAAATAAACTTATCTAAATTATACCAAGTAACCAACCACCTGCACATTTGATTCTCAAAATTATTTGACCTCAAATGACTCAGATTCAAAGCAACAGTTGGGTAAAATTTTTTTTATTGGAAAACAAATATACAACTTGGAATGGATCTGAGGCAAATTGTGCCGTAAGCAGATTTTCTTTAAGTGGCTAAACAAAGTTTAAAAAGCAAGTAACAATAAAAGAAAATGTTTCTGGTACAGGACCAGCAGTACAAAAAAATAGTGTACGAGTACCTGGATAATACACCCGTTTTGCAATAGTGCAACTTTAAGTACATATTGTTGACTGTCCATAGTCCACGCAGAGTTACAACTCCACACTGCAACAACAACATGCTGACAGTTTCTAAAGAAAACTACTTAAAAAAAGGCATAACCCAGATGTTCCCTCATTTGACCAACTCCTCCTAAGTTTAGATGTGCAGAAGGGCTTAGATATATCCAGAGTAAGCCACATGCAACATGTTACTTGATCAATTTTCTAAAATAAGGTTTTGGGACAATGACAATAGAGGAAGAAAACATGGAGGAATGAAGTCCTAATTACTATACATGCATATTTTTTTGACAGTAGGGGAAACCTTTTACAGATAAGTTACAAACAAAGAAAAGGCAAATAAACAATTTTGTACAAGAAATTTAACACATTCTGTACAATGTCTTCACTTTGCTGTCATCATTTGTACAAACTCTGAAAAAGAAAAAATACACAAAAAGTTGAGTCAGTCAATGGCAAGATTTGACAAAACCAATCACATTTACTCAAACACTGAGCAATCTCTATTCCCCTTTCTTTCCTCAAAATTATAAAGTACCAAGGAAAACTAGCTTACTGCCAAGGCTGGAATTTCATAAACCAAATTAACAAATAAACCTAATTAATGCTTTAGATAGC